TTTTTTTTTTTTTTTTTTTAAATTGGGCACAGGACGGTCCATTGTAAGTTGCGTTACCCAGCAGGGGCTATATATTGCTTAAATACGTGTCAATTCATATCACTAATCTACACTGGATGGAGGAGAACAGCCCCATCTAAGAGGTTGCCGCTTGTTCCCTGTTTTCATGTTCCTCTCCAGTCTGTTAATTAAATTACTATTCCTGAGCACGAGTGCAGTTTGCACTTGATTTAAGGCTCATTTGTTTCTGCCTCTAGTTCCTTCAGTGGGAATCTAAGGATAAGGTTGATTCTTTTTACAGGAGGTTGTAATTAATTTATGCACACCTTGTTTTAAAAAAGGTGCACCTGAATGATGAATCCCCTTGCCTCACTAACTTAAAAAGAAGATTCTTCCATTTGGAATAAAATCTCTAAGAGAGGAAGGTTAAAATTCTTAGTGGACTGCTGGATGGTAAGAAAGTATTGAAACGATAGCAAGTACAAATCGTCTTAAATGCAAACTGGCCTTGTTGGGTTGTGAGAACTAGGTCATCTACACAGAACCAAAATTTTATCAGACTCTCACTCTTTGTAGGCTGAAATCAGCTGATTCCAGACTTGCCAATTACTGTATATTCCTATGCCTAAGAGTTTTACTCTTAAGGCTTATTCATTACTGCAGTGATACTGTTACCTAGCTTAATATTGTTGATGTGAAAGCCATGATTGTATTCTTTTCTTATTAGCATCTTATAAAATCATAAATTATATTCAGAGTAGATGGTACTCTCTAAATCTTTATTTTCTGAGCTCTGCCAGTGGTTAGTTTGTCCATATATAGAGGTGGGTTTGCATAAGAGCTTCTTGGGTTTGACACTGGACACTAACTTAATGCTGTGAGCGCTTCTTCTACATACTTTGCAAGCAAATAGGAGACAGAACAGGCCAAGCCTGATTCAAAGGGATTGATACTTTTCTATTTTAAATAATATTTTCTAGACAATTTGTAAGTTAGACAGACAAAGTTCTTTTCTTATTAGTACAAAGTGACTACTGTATTTGAACCAGCATTGTGTTGTATGTTTCTGAATAAAACGGTAACAGATACTTTTACAATAGTGTCAGTATTATAGCAGCCTGTGGTTGGAGAGTTCAATCTGTTTGTGCTACGGCTTAGGGGAACTTTATATTATTAAAAATATGAAGGGGGCAGATATGGTATCCTACAGGATTCAGCTTTGTGGCATCTTTGCAAGAAGTTGCACCTCCATTTATGTTACAAAAGCCTGATGTTTTGTAAATGTTTTGTTTATTGTTCTAGTGTTGATATGTTAATGCCTCCTGATGAAGAAAAGGACCCAGAAGTAATTCCTGAAGACAGTAGTCTACTAACGCTTCGGTATGTTGTTGTAGTGCACTAAGAGAACCCGGATTTAAAGACAAACAAACAAAAAAACCTAGTAACAAAAGCACGGCTGGTTACATGTTCCTATTCCAGGCAGTGGTGTGCTTTCTGAAGCAGTTTCCAGAAGTGCTCTAACTTCAAAAACACCATGTCCTGATGTAATAATTGGTATTAGCCTTCTTCTTTAATGTTTCTTAGGAATGTTTTAGTAAGAAACACGAAACATGCTGTCTGTGTTGAAGCAGTTGGCTGAAGCGGTTGTTACTTAACGAAAAGACCTGGGGAGTTCTGGCTATAGATGCCTCTGAAATAGCACCTGAATTTTGAGCACGCCTTCATGCTCAGGGGAACTTGACACAAGGATGTAAGGGAGGTTCCTCCAAAGCCTTATGAAATAGGTCTGTAAGCTCTTATTTCTAGTGGCACACAGTCATGCTGTGACACGCAAAGTGTAAATGCTCAAGCTGCAGTCTTTTATCTCTTGTATCTCTGTTATCTGTCCCTGTTCTTAATGGAGTTCATTAATTTGACCAGTGCATTTCCAGGGTTTGAGCCGTATGTGTTACAATTACATCACTTACGGAACTGTAAATTCACACTGGGCCGATTCAGACCTTTGTTGTGCTTGAATTTCAGTTTGCTTAGTACTAATGCGAAGAAATGTATGCTAAGGCTGCGATCAGTGTTAGTATTATTGAAAACTTACCGGAAGGTCTTGAAGTAAAAGGACTCGTCCTGGAAGTTAAAGTGGGCTCAGTAGACAGTGGTTAAATGTATGCATTGCAATCGATATTCTGTGTCTGAGAAATGATACTCTTTCTTCTAGAAATGATGTCCTGGTTTCTATGCCAGAAAAGTATCTATGCCTTGGGGTTATGAAGGTTTATTTTTCCATCTTGTTTTGTACTTGAACAAGAGCTGAATTCCTCTAGAGTGGGAGGAATAGTTGAAACAGCTTCCTCATAGGTAGCAGAATGTTTTTTCTGGGAGAGGCTGCTCACAGAAGATTTTCTGGACAAGTGTTGTAAGGCTGCCCGCTAATTGGGGTGACTCTTGAATATGGCGGGAGGGGAATCCATAAGCTGATCTTTGTACCGCCAGTTTTCTTTAAGAGTCAGGAGAGAGGGAGTCACATAGTCTCTCATACTAAGACTGCCAGAAGTCCTGCTCTTTGAAAAAGGCATGGTAGTAGCTTCTGTGATGTTTGAAAATCTGCCTAGAGATTAGCTGTTAGTGTATAATGCTATTTAATGAAGTTTTTTCCTATGTTCCTGCCCCTCAGAATTAGAAAGAAGGCATTAGAGAGAAGAGAAGAAACCATAATTGTGGATCGGGCTTGCAGACAAGAAACACTTGCTTATGAGATGGTAAGATAACCTGTCACCTGACAGGATCTCACGACACTCTAGCACAGCTAAAATCCAACCTCTGGTTGCTTCTTTTCTTTTTCTTTTTTTCTCTCTCTTTCCCGTGCGTCTGTATGTTGTTTATGCAGACTATGAGTTTGCCGGTAATGTAACCAGATTAGAGAGACTTTATAGAAAAGTAATCCACATGGTAACATGTTAGAGACAGGAACTCTTCTCTTAAATAGTACCAAGTGTAGTAAAGAGGAACTCCAGCCCATTACTACTGTGTGATTGATTATTCTTACTTGTTTGCTACCAGAGCAGTGTGCAGGGGATCCAGTGTTCGGAGCATCACAGGAATGTACTGTGGAACTAAACAAAATGCTTAGTGTCTTTCCTGCTGGAGTCCTATTTTGGAATGTAAGCTGTCATGTATAAATGGTTGTGGCCTGGGTTCTGCAGGGCTGAAAAAGAAAGACAATAGGGGCATGGTGATGGTAACTTCCTAATTCTGAGCTGCACAAAACACGTTTCTGAGCCACTCTGAGCTGTCAGGAATTAAGAGTGCAGTGATCAGCCCCTTAAAAGCCATTTTGGAATTACTCTAACTGTTCTTTTTACCTTTTCTGAAGATTTTGTTCACAACCAGTAAAGCTAGATATCCTAGATAGAAAAATTAAGTTCTGAAATCTCCAAGTGCTGGAGTCCGTTGCTTGAACAAGAAAGACAAGAGCCACTGTTAAAGGTAGGAATGGAAGTACAGAGAGGGAGGGACATCACTTGTGACTTTCCTTACGGTTTCCTGATCTGTCATGTCCGATCTTCTTTCAACCGTCTGGAGGCCCAAGTGCAGGCTTTCACAAACGGTGTCGTATTTCTATTTCTGAAGGACAATCATGTGGTTAGTTACTTCATCCTTTAAGGAGGTTATGGTAAGTGGTTTGTGTGCCGGAGGCAGTTGCGACCGAGCTGTGTGACGTAGAATGCAAAGGGTAACCCAACATGAGTTTGGAATCTGTTCACACTAGGAAATGATGCAGAGGGATAGAGCACATGTATTTCTGCACCGACACCTAACAGCAGTATCCAGTTCTGTAACTACATTTGAAGAACACTTTGTGTTTGTGAGAAGTGTTTTTGCATCTGGCATTCTCTCTTGGTTCGTTGCAGTAGTAGGAAGCTATGATTGCCACAGAAAGTGCCCTCCCTCATCTTCACATTTGAAGCTATGTCTTAAACAGACTAGAACAGAAATGCTTTCAGTTCTTCTCTAAAATATAGCTGTGTAGCAGGGCAGTGCTGGATTTGGGGGTTGGATTTTGACAAAATTGAGACCCCCAACTATGTCCAGCTTCCTTAATAAAAGATGGTTTTGCACTAACACTTGTTAGCCTCACCCTGTGGCTAGTTTCTAGGTCAGTCTTTCTCAAGCTGGGAGTTGTGATTCCCCTTTTGGTGGGAAAGCATTCAAAGGGTGCTTCTGAGTGAAGTGGTAGAAATTGACAGCGGTTGGGCTCCACAAGGGCAGAGGAGTGGCTAGCTGTCTCTAATTCCTGGAAATAACTCAGTTACTCCAGAGCTGAAGAATGAAGTAATTACAGCAGTTTCTCACCTCCATATCTTGGAAGAACTAGACTATTGTGATTCAGAAGGCTACACTAAGACAGAGTTGAAAAGGAGTTATAGTTAGGACAGAGTTTATCAAACTTTTATCCAGGGGATATATCCACAGTTACCAACATAATATGTATGCATATCTTTATTTTTCCAGGAGTCTCATGCAATTGGAAAGAGGCCAGACAATCCAGCAGATCTAGTGGAGGAGGGAGAACTGCTTTTGACTCTAAATATCTTCTATCCCGTCATATTTCAGAAGGTTGGTACTGAATTTTCCACAGTAATGCCTTTTCCATACTCAGACAATGCCCTGCTTCCGCCAGCAGTTAAAATCAGTGAGACCACTGAGGGAGTGTGTTATTACACAAGGTAAACCCTCAAGCTGTAGTAACTTCTCAAGACCTTGTTAGAATATGACTTTAATTGTCTTTCAGTGATTTACAGAAAGAAATGCTTACAGTAATTACTCAGTAGTTACTTAATTTCACAAAAGGCTCAAAATGTGTAAAACATTTGGAGTAAGTGTGCTCAAGCTTCCTGTCTTTCGTGAGCTTTCTTGTTGGGAATGTAACTTTGGACCTTCAAAAGAACTCTCTAATCACCTGCAGCCTTAAGAAAAGCTGAGACAAGATGCTGTTTTCAGTGTTGTATGGGGAGTGTTGTGCCACTGCTAATGACCCCAAGTGATCACTGAAGAGCGG